AGGAGATAACCGCATCTTGAAAACTACCCGCCCTCAAGCCGTGAAACTCTTGTCACCGTTTTCGACGACTGGGCGCGGCGCTAAAGCGAACCACATGTTCAAAACCGCCCCCCATCCATCCGTGAAACTGCTGCAACTTCTCAGTCTAAGGATCATACATCGTGAAGGATCTTAGGCGAAAGGCCCAGCCCGCCCTACCAACACGTCTCGGGGTGCGACAGGGGGGAGTTATCTAGACAGAAAAGGGATGGAGGAGGAGCGGGCGGAGGGGGGAGGGGGGGGGGAGGAGAGGAGGAGGAGCAGGGGGAGGAGGAGGAGGAGGAGGAGGAGGTGGAGGAGGTGCGGGGGAGGAAGAGGAGAAGGAGGTGCGGGGGAAGGGAGAGGAGGAGGAGGAGGAGCGGGGAAGGAGGGCACGAGGAGCGCTAGGGGGGGGGAGGAGGGCAAGGGGCACGAGGAGCGGATGGGGGGAGGAGGGCAATAGGACGAGGGAGCAGCAGAGGGAGTGGCGAGGGGGGAAGGGAGGCAAGAAGGGGGGGAAGGCAAGAGGGGGAAAGGGGGCGGAGGGAGGGAGGAAGGGGGGGGGAGGCGAGAGCCGAGGGAGGGCGAGGGGGGAGGGACGGATGCCGATGGGGAGAAGGCGCAGAAGAGGGGGCAGCGGGGGGGGGGAGGGGGCGCAACACGGGGGCAGCGGGGGGGGAGGGGGGCGGAGGGGGGGGAATAGAACGAAGGGGACGCACAATGACATACCAGTACTGTGATTTCTCCTTGGAGGCGTGCGCACGACCCGAACACATGACACAACCATCGTGCCGTATATCCTCTCCCGAGCGGCATGGCCAGAACGTGCCCGCCCCCGCACATGCAGTCTAAGATTTCTCGGCAGGCGCGTCGCCCCTGGGAGAGCGGCGCACACTTTTATGCCGCAGCGCGGCAGAGGCAGGCCGCAGGCGCGCCCGAGTGGCGCCGGGGCGCGGAGCCACGACTCCGTCCGCATGCGCGAGGGGGGAGAGAGAGCGGCGCACACACAGTGTCAGCATGCTGGCTCGCCGACAAACGAAGGGTGGGCGTGAATCGGTGAGATCACACTCGAGGTCGAACTGGGATGCTGCCTCTAAGGCCAGGCCCGTGTGCAACTTCTGGTGTCGTTCCTCAAGCTGCGCGGGGCCCTCTGAGCTCAAATGGCAATCGATCGATGCTGAATGATGTGTAGCTAAAGGCGGGGATCTGGTCCAGCCACAGTCTGCCCCGCGGCAATCTCGTCCTGTAGTGTTGCCGTCGCGGGGGGAGGAGACGGATGGTGAAAAAGGATGTGGAAAGAGGACGGGGACGGATGGGGGAAGGGGTGACAGGAGGGAGAACGGGACGTACAGGGAAAGGGGGTTGTGGACAGAGGGAGGAAGGACGCAAAGGAAGGGAACGGCGAAAGAGGAGGAGGGCGAGAGAGAAGAAAGAGGGGAGTGAGGGCGAGGGGACGGGCAGGCAGGCAGGCATGACCTGGACTCGCCACACGCACACATGCCAGAAATTGCGTTGCCCCCCAGAGATGAGGGGGTGAAAGGTTCGGCTGGCAATGTGCCCCACGAAGCGACCCGTAACACAAACGAGAATAGAAGAACAACGCTCAAGCACCCGTGGTATCTGCCGCGTGGTTTGATCTTGTTAATTACTGAGTGCCGCGCGGGGTAGAGTCGGCGTCGCGCTTCAGTTTGCGGCGCGGCAGGCCAAAGGGCAGGATTGCAAGATGCGGCCTCATGGTCGTCGACAGCGCCCACTGCATGGCCTGGAAATCGTGGAAGTCCTGGAAGCTAGCCTGTGCGCGGCAGGCAAAGGAAAAGACGCTGGGGCCCCGTGCGCAAGCCCAGCCAGCAACTGCCCTGCGCAGTGCCCCTGTCCTTACTAGAGAAGGAGAAAGCAGCGTCAACTCAAACACTCGTAGCTCCTCGCGGATTTCTTGGATCGGCGCTGGGCCACCCTCCCTGGAGCGCGGAGCGCGCCAAGGGTCCAGCGCAGCTCCGACAACTCCGCGCGGGGCCTCGAAAAAAACCATGTGTATGCCTCTTGTGTTTCTTCGGATTCTCCTTTCCCTCACCCTTTCCCACCTTAGTCGCCACATTTGCTCAGAAGCGCGCACACGCGTAAACGCATCATGCAGGCGACGAGACAGGAGGCCTGCGGGCATCGATCCCCACGCAATGCCCAACAATATCGCTGAAAAGGTATTCCGAAGACTGCTCCTATTAACTTTGGAGAGGACGCGTCCTTCCCCTAGCCCTCGACAGGCGTCATCTGCCAAGAACGACCCCTTCCCAGCATGGGCAGCCCCTACCTACAGGCCCTGCCCCATAAACTCCCCTTCCCCCAACAACGCCTACAGTCTCATGTAGATCATGCGGCTACGCGCGCCACAGTGTGCAAAGCTTCGTTTTGCACCTCGCCCACCCTTCTCAGATCCATCTGTGTTACCACCTCCTCCGCTTCATCATCCTCCTCATCCTCCTCATCATCATCAAATCATCAGTATCAGCATCCTCATCATCATCACCCTCATCATCATCAGCAGCATCATCGTCGTTGTCGCCATCATCATCACCACCACCATCATCATCAGCATCACCATCATCAACCTCGCCACCATCATCATCAGCATCATCATCGTCATCCTCACCATCCTCGCAAACATCATCACCATCGTCACCATCATCCTCATCATCATCATCACCATCATCCTCCCCCTCCTCCTCACCCTCCTCCTCATCATCACCACCATCATCATCACCATCACAATCATCCGTACCATCATCATCATCATCATCATCATCGTCATCATCGTCATCAGCATCACCATCATCCTCCGCATCAGCACCATCATCATCACCATCATCGTCATCATCATCAGCAACATCATCATCATCGTCCTCATCATCATCATCATCATCAGCAGCATTATCAGCATCAGCACCATCAGCATCAGCATCATCATCATCAGCATCAGCATCATCATCATCATCATCGTCATCACTATAATCAGCATCATCATCATCAGCAGCAGCAGCATCATCAACATCACCACCACCATCATCATCCACTGTCTCATCATTATCCCTCTACCTCAGTCTCCTCCCCCTGCCGCCGCCGCAGCTCGACTCAACGAGTTCCCATGTCCGCGCCGCGCGCGCCCCAGCGGGGGGCCCTGCCGTAAGGCAGGCGCCAGGGGCCGCCTGTACACGTGGCTACGGCTGAAGTAGTCATGTAGACCTCTCCTCTTCCTCCTTCTCCTTCTCTCCTCACTCACTCACTCACTCGCTCACTCGCTCACTCACTCGCTCGCTCGCCCAAACACTCCGAGGTCACTCGCGCCGTTTGCAGCCCGCGCGTGGATCGCTGACCCCCGCGCCCCTGGAAGCCGACGTCCTTGGATCCCAGCAGGCGGTGGATGTGAATATGCTTTGGCCCCAGAGGGGATATATACACATCTATATTTACATATACACACTTAGGTGCGAATCCGTGTGTAGATCTACATGTGCACCTATAGAACACCCAAGAAAAAAACACACTTAGCCTGGCGAAAAACCCAACCATATGCATATGTGGGTACTTACTGCGTGTGAGGGTTGTGCCAAAAATGGGTGCGGTGGGCGCATGCGAGCGCTGGCACCTGGGCATTCGGTGGAGCTCCCTATGGGGCCAAAAAAAGTGTGAGGGGTGTGCCAAAATGAGTGCGGTGGGCGCATGCGAGCGCTGGCATCTGGGTCCTTCCTCCGGGGCTTCCTATGGGGCCAAGAAACGAATAAGGGGGGTCCCAAAAATTGGCACGGTGGGTGCATGCGAGCGCTGGCATGTGGGCCTTCGGTGGAGCTCCCTATGGGGCCCCAAACCGTGAAGGGTGTGCCAAAATGGGTGCGGTGGGCGCTTGCGAGCGCTGGCACCTGGACCTTCGGTGGGGCTCCCTATGGGGCCACGAAGCGTGTGAGGAGTGTGCCAAAATGGGTGCGGTGGGCGCATGCGAGCGCTGGCATCTGGGCCTTCGGTGGGGGCCTTCGATGGGGCTCCCTATGGGGCCACAAAACGTGTGAGGGATGTGCCAAAATCGATGCGGTGGGCGCATGCGAGCGCTGGCACCTGGGCCTTCGGTGGAGCTCCCTACGGGGCCACAAAGCGTGTGAGGGGTGTGCCAAAGTGGGGGAGGAGAGCAGGAGGGGGAGAGCGCGGCGGGTGGAAGGAGTGAGACGCGGGGCGCTGTCGCTTCAAAACGAGGACCCAACACCACAGGATGGTTTGGAAAAAAACATCCAAACAGCACAAACCGACACAACAACAGAAACAACAACAGACGGTGATTCCAGACCGACACCCACTCGGAAGCCGGGAACCCCGCAAACGAATTCCGGCCTTCCCTGGCCTCCTCGGCCCCGTAGAGCGTCCCTGCCAGGCTTGAGAAGTGGGCCCAAAGCAGTCAGGAGGGCGGCCAAACGGCCCCGCGAGCCCAAAGCGGCCGGACACCCGCAAAAAACCCGAAGACGGCCCACAAAAGCACCCCAAAGAGGTCCCCTCACAGCAGAACGTATGTGTATACGAACAGGTTCTGGCAGATTCCGGAATGCTCCTCGGCTCGTCGGTCGTCCGCGCGGCCGAGGCCGCCCAAGAGGCCCCAAGGAGCGCTTCAAGACGGGCCCGAAGAGCCCCATGACAGCCCAAGATAGCCCCGAGACGGTCCAGCAGGGCCCCAAGACGGCCCCGAGAGAGCTCTACGACGGCCCAAGATGGCCTCGATGGGCCCCCAGGGCACTCCAGAAATCGTGAGCCAGTCGTGGAGGGAAACCGTGGTTGGCAGCAAGGTGGCTCCAAGAAGCCCCCAGAGGTCCCCCAAAATGTACCCAGAGATAAGCCCCCAAGAAGCCCCCAAGAACCCCCCGAGAAGCTTTCGTGGGGCCCCAGAGACCCCCCCATGGAACAGCCTCCGCAATCAAATATTATCCCAGTGCGACCCTACCTAGGAGTTGGAGCCTCTAGGAAAGCAACATTAGTAGGAGCGGCAGCAGCAGCAATAGTGGATGCTGTGCTGCGCTATGCTATGCTATGCTCTGCTCTGCTCTGCTATGCTATGCTATGATATGCTATGCTATGACATGATATGTTATGGTATGTTATGCTATGCTATGCTATGCTATGCTATGCTATGATATGCTATGATATGATGTGCTGTGCTGCGCAATGCTATGCTGGGCTAGGCTAGGCTATGTTAGGCTATGCTATGCTATGTTATGCTAGTTTGCGCTATGATATGCTGCGCTATGCTATGCTATGCTATGTTATGCTATGCTATGATATGCTATGCTATGATTTTGTTTTGCCTTCGTTTTTGCCTTAATGTGTGCCTTTGCTTTTGCTTTTGCTTGGCACCCAGGGAGCGCAACTGGGGGAACCGCGCGTTTGCTTTTACCTTTGCTGTTGCTTTTGCTTGGCTCCCAGGGGACTGGGGGAACCGCCCAGGGCGGTTTGCACTGCCCGGCCCCTTTAAGCCAAGCGAGTAAGAACACTTCTAGGAACCCTTCTAGGTAGGGAAAAAAAGAAGTGCGAGAACTAAGAGAAGGAACACTATGCAAAAAAGGATATAGGAGAACAGGACGATAACGACGAAATCGAAAGGTGGAGCAAGAACATAATACTAGTCCCCCCCTCTGTGTCTCTCATTCCGCCTGCATGCGACACTTGAAGGATCAAGGTGCATGGCGCCAAGCACCGATGCAGTCTTGCACTTATACATTCTACGTTTGAGGGCCCTTGCAGTATTCATTGTTCAGGGGATCTGCTCTCCCCGCCCTCCTCCCTCTCCTCCCTCTCCTCCTCCACCTCTTCCTCCTCCTGCTCCTCCTCCTCCTCCTCCTCTGCTTCATCCATCTTCCTCCTGTCTGATCCCTCCTGCGTCGCTCCCTCATCCATCCTCCCGCCTGAACGCCTGAAACATTATGCCCCTACTCCTATTGATATCCGCAATACTGGCAGTCCTCACCCACTGCAAACCCCTGCAAATGCCAACACGACCAGGAAGCATGCGAATAATATAAACCCACAAGTTCACGAAATGGCAGACGAAACAAGAGAAGGACACACAGCCATGGGAACAATTGCCAAGGAAGAGAGACAGCAACACCGTACTACCAGCCAAGACGCAAATTCGGCAGTCGCCTCGTTGCCGAGGCCGCCGAGCCTTCCCCTCGGTAGTGCCAAGCAAGGCCGAAATTACATACCGCATTCTCCCCTCCTCCTGCTCCTCCTCCTCCTCCGAGATCTCGACCGGAACTCCTGTACACGATGCTTGCACCTTGGGCCAGCGGCGCCAACCAGGGGGCGGCGCGATGCGCACCTTCATGGGCGGGGACGGGCGTTCGGACCCCCCTGTCTCGGGGGCACGCAAACATGGATTAGCGATCCATGGATTTGGCGCGCGGTCGCCAAATCCATGGATCGGGGGAGGGGCCCTCCCCAAAGTGCGGCCGGTGCCGCCTCGCCCGGCGGCAGAAAGCCGCGGCTTCCCACGGGAACGGGACCCGTCGCGAATCCACGCCCCCTTGCTCCATGCTTGCGATCCCCTCACTGTCGGCGAGCAGTGGGCGATTGGGGGGTCGATGCGCCCCCCCCCCCCCGAACCGATCCCCCTTCCCCTATCCTTGCCCCCGACGCGCTCAGCACCCGGCCGCTCGCGCACGGGCGCCCCGTGCTCTGGTGCCCGCCCCGATAGAGGAGGCCCCGGGGACACACAAAGAAGCAGGCACAAATCCCAGGACTCCCCCGAGTTCCACATCTTTTCTGGGCTTCCGTCTTCCCCCCCCACTTCCCATACAGTGCGGGCCCGACCACGAGAGACCTTCCACAAGAAACCCAAACCTGAGACCCCAGGACGTCCACGGATTCCTGGTGTGGGAACGTCACGCTTTCCATCGCAAAACCACCGACACCCAAGAAACCCAGGGCACTCTGGAGGCCAGCAGGGTGTTTCTTGGCATGGGCCCCCACTGTATTTTCCCATGTTCTCCCGGGAGTCGACGACGAACTGTGTCTGTGTGTTGTCTCCCCTCCTGACTGCTGCTGGTGCCCTGTGCCCTGCTGCTGGGTCCAGCGCTGATCCGAGAAATCCGCGCGGACCTCCGAGTATTTTTGTTCATGCCAGTCTTCGCTCCCCTAACAAATCCCAGGATTCCCCCTGTTGCCCAATCTTTTCTGGGCTTTCGTCTCCCCTCCTCCTCCTCCTCCTCCTCCTCCTCCTCCTCCTCCTCCTCCTCCTCCTCCTCCTCCTCCTCCTCCTCCATGTTCTCCCGGGGTCGACGGCGAACTGTGTCTGTGTCTCTGTCTCCCCTCCTGGCTCCTGCTGGGGTGCCCCGTGCCCCCCTCTCCGTGCGCCCCGCAGCCTGCCAGCCGCGCGCGCTGGTGCCCCTCGAAACCAACGCCCTCTGGCGTTCGATCGGGCGTGTCCTCTACAGGCGGAGCTTGGACGAAGAATTCAAAAATACGCCAAAGATGCTAAAAAATACTCACAACTAGAGGAACAATCGTCCCCTGATTAATTTCTTGACTACCTTGGAATCGTCCTCCTGTAGGGGGACGTGCCCGACTTAAGCCTGGCGGCGCGCCGAGGGGGGAAGGCAGAGGGGGGGCGCACGGCTCGATGCTCGAGGGTTTCGGGCAGCTCGGGCGGGCGGTAGCAGGGAGGGACCCGAGTGGGCAGGCAGGCGGGCAGGCGCGCCGTGTCCGGCCAAAGAGGCCGAACCGCACGGGGCAAGGCGCGTGGGCCGCAGCCCTCACGTGTCGTCCCTCTGCACGAAGCCAGATTCGAATGCTTTCCCCAAGTGGGGGGTGAAATCAAAGGCCTCGGGAGCCCTGCCGGCCTTCCGAGGAGCCGCCCGTGGCCTTCGAGACGGCTCAGAGGCCAGGGGCCGCCCGAGCCTGCCGAGGAGGCCCGAAGCCCCCAGACCTCCGAGGCCCCGATTCTGCCCACGTCCGGGCCCCCGCAGCCCTGGACCACCTCCGGAGGACCAGGCTCTCGCCGCGGACGATCGTTGCCCGACGGTCCCTGGGCCCGGCCAGGGCCCCCCGCGGCCGAAAACTGGGAGAAGCTCTCCACGGCGCACGAGCCGTGTCAACCGAAGATGAAACTCCCTCTGGCCTGCGAGCCGCAGCCCCTGACCCGGACCGAGGGGAAAACGGACCTGCGGTCGTCGCTCCCGGCCCCCATCGCGCTGCCAGGGCGGCGGGCGCGCGTCAGGCCCGGAGGCTGGAAGGCGGCCAAGAGGACTCGCCGCCGCCGCTCGCTGGGAGAAGCCTCCAGCCTGATCTGTTCAGGGGGAGGAGGGGGAGGAGGGGGAGGAGGGGGAGGGGGGAGGAGGAGGAGGAGGAAGAGGAGGAGGAGGAGGAGGAGGAGGGGGAGGGAGGAGGAGGAGGAGGAGGAGGAGGAGGAGGAGGAGGAGGAGGAGGAGGAGGGAGGAGGAGGAGGGAGGAGGAGGAGGAGGAGGAGGAGGAGGAGGAGGAGGAGGAACTTTGGGGGCCTGGGCCCCCCTGCCTCCCCCCCTCGGCGCGCCGCCGACCCACGGTGCCACCCTGAGATACCCGACATTGCCGGAAGATTGCAACATCGCAGGAAGTCACGACCGGAGCCCTGGGCCCCATCCTTCTGCGTCATCTTTCGAGACGGATCGGCCTGTGAGGGTCCCGGCGCCCGAAATGGAGCGAAAACGCCCGTTGTGAAAAAATGGCATGCCCAGGATCTCGGGGCATGTGTTCTGCCTGTCGACCGTTTGCGCGCCGGGTGCCCTGTCGGTTGGTGACCGAGTGTCTGTGCCCAGATAGGTGTCCGGCTCGTCGCAGTCGGCCGTCAGGGGCCAACCGTGGAGAACCAACCAACAGGGGGCCAGCACCGCAGGGCGCCAACAACAGGGTACAACAGATGCTTTCACCCAAAGATCGAGTAAGGGATCGACTACAGATTTGATTTACCCCAGGATTGGCTCGTCTCGCCGAATCCATGGAACCTGCGTACAATGTTGGGAGATCTACGAAAATTATACGTTTTCGTCTATGGATTCGACGTCAAAACTCATTCTGGGGTAAATCAATTCTGTAGTCGATCCGCTACTCGCAACGAGGATCCTACCAGCCCCCCGGACTTGGAGGAGGAGGAGGAGGAGGAGGAGGAGGAGGAGGAGGAGGAGGGAAAAGGAGGAGGAGGAGGAGGAGGAGGAGGAGGAGGAGGAGGAGGAGGAGGAGGAGGAGGGGGAGGGGGAGGAGGAGGGGAGAAGGAGGGGGAGGGAAGGGGGGGAGGACAGGAGGACAGAGGAGCGAGGACGAGGAGGAGGTAGGAGGAGGAGGAGGAGACGGAGAGGGAGGAGGAGGAGGAGGAGGAGAAGGAGGAGGAGGAGGAGAAGAGGCGGAGGAGGAGGAGGAGGGAGGAGGAGGAGAAGGGAGGAGCAGGAGGACCAGGGAGGAGGAGGACAGGAGGAGGAGGAGGAGGACAGGAGGAGGAGGAGGACGGGAAGAGGAGGAGGAGGATGGAGGAGGCGGAGGAGGAGGAGGAAGAGGGGGAGGAGGAGGCGGAGGAGGAGGAGGTGGAGGAGGAGGAGAAGAAGGAGGAGGAGGAGGAGGAGGCGGAGGGGAAGGAGGAGGAGGAGAGTCTCGCTGGCTCAGGCCAGCCATCACTCAGGCACGTGCTTGTTCACGAGACTTTTACAGCGCACCTGCGCTTACCCCCCCCAGCAGCAACAGATTGGCTCGCAATGGCTGCTTCGGCTCGTCTTGCTTGGGCGCAAGGTCTCATCGCTAGTGGAGCGCCTGCACACATCACAGTCGGGAGCGCCGCTCACCAGGGAAGAGCCAAAGCCAAAGTAAGGATTTACCAGTCTCGCGGCGTCACATCGATGGCCACTCGTTCCTTACGCCTGGTCGCCCTGGATGGCATCACGCAGCACATTCTCGCGGCAATCACGGTTGATCGAGGCCACTTGCACTCAGATGGTTGCAGCGAAATTTGCATATGGTTCGAGTCCCCATCGGTGGCGCCATCACATGGTGAACAAGATGGGCGCCATGACTGGGGCCGAGGTGCAAGATATGGGCATGATCGACGTGGCGCTCTGGTGCCAGATCGGCAGCAACGACGGCGTCCTCAGCATCATGTACCTCTCAATTCCAGGTCCGAGGTCAGGCTGTCCGCGGACGACGTCGTGAGGACGCGCAGTCTGCGGGCCTCGCCTTGCTTCAATCTGGCGCGTCAGCTGGCGCGGTCGGCAAGGGCAACGAGGACGATTTCGACGACAGTGGCGTGATCTGGGGGGTCCGCGGATGCTTCTGCGCAGGAGGAGGGCGTGGCCAGCAGGTCTGCGGGCTCCGCCTTCCTGCCAAGTGGCTCTCTCCGTCTGGACGCACAAGTGGTTGTGCCTGGCCTTCGGAGCGACGGCCCCCCTGCTGCAACATCGGACACGGCGAGTTCGAGTGCTCGGACCGATGGGGACCTCACGTGTGCGCAGGACGAGCGCAGCCTGGCCCATCTGGGCAGTGCACGAGGACGGTCTACTGAGCTCTGCTGTCGATCTGCTCCAACAAGTTTGTCTCCAGGAGTTCGAGGAAGGACAGTGCTGTGTCACAGCGTCTTTCGAGGTGATCTCCAGAATTGTCCCTGAGTTTCCGACACGCTTCGTTATTGGATCCAAATGCTGTGTTGATGAGTGGGGGAATAACATTTAAGATGAAGCCTGGGAGGGCTATTCGCGGCCATAAACTTTTCAGCTGTGGCGCCGATTCCCTTCGTCGACGTGTCGTCTTTCCTGTTCACAAAGTTCATCTCGCGCATTGAGAAGCTGGGTTCCGCCTCGTGTTTGCACCGCCCTGGCACGCGGAAGCTGAAGGTCGCCTGGCAAGCTTCTGAGCCTCCGCGGTGGATGGTTGAGGGAACGGCTAGTAGCACTGAGCCACCTTCGACTGACATGCTGGACTCGGCTGAGAATGCCTCGTCGCCTTGTCGGGTTTGGCTCTTTTCTGCGTGTGTCTGCTGTTGCGGGCCCTGTGGGCCTTCTCCCTTGGTGCGCCCTTAGCCCACGCTCCCCCCCTGCGGGCCCTCCTCTCACTTTCTTCTCCCTCCTCCCTTGCGTCCCCCCTCTTGGGGGGGTGCTTGGGCTTCGGGTTTGCACCCTCTTTCTGGCTCCGGGGGGGTGTGGGACCCTCATCACCACTGTCTCCATCCTGCTCGCTCTCGCCATTTTTTCGTGCACGCGCTTCGAACCTCTCGCGCTTCGACCGACCGACCGACCGAGGAGGAGGGGGAGAAGAGGAGGAGGAGGTGGAGGAGGAGGAGAAGGAGGAGGTGGAGTAGGAGGAGGAGGACAGGAAAAGGAGGATGAGGAGGACAGGAGAAGGAGGAGGAGGAGGAGGAGGATAGGAAAAGGAGGACGAGGAGGTTGAAGAGGAGGAGGAGGAGGAGTAGGAGGCTGCGCGAGCGCTGCCGAACGATGCGTTGCAGCAGTGCGCGCAGGCCCACCGAGGCACGGGCCCTGCTCCGCCCCACAGCACCTTCTCGCCGCCCTTCGGACCCTCGACCTCCGGGGAGCAGGAGGGCAGGGGGGCGGCCTCCTCCTCCTCCTCCTCCTCATCCTCCTGTCCTCACCCCTCCTCCTCTTCTTATTTGTCTTATTGTTCTTCTTCGTATTATTACTAGTATGAGTATTATTATGATTAGGTGTTAATAATATTATTAATAGTATTGTTATTATTAGTATTCTTAGTATTATTATTAATAATCGTATTATGATTATGGTTGTTATTATTATTAGTATTATCATCATCATCTGCATCATCATCATCATTATTACTCTTAGCACTCTGAGTAGTATAAAGATTAGCATTGTTATGATGATCACTAGTATTCGTGTTGTGTTTACTTGCATTATTTCGCAACGTCCTCTTATTGGTATGCTTCGTCTTGTTTGGAATAAGCATATGCTTCGTATTATTGGTAGTGTTATTCTTCGTATTATTATTATTATTATCATTCCTATTATTTTCATATGATTCGTCTTCTTGCTAGTATTGTCAGTAGTACTATTACTGTTTCTCCTCCTCCTCCTCCTCCTCCTCCTCCTCCTCCTTCTCCTCCTCCTCCTGTTGTCCTCCTGTTTTCCTCCTGTTCTCTTCCTCCTCCTCCTCCTCCTCCTCCTCCTCCTCCTCCTCCTCCTCCTCCTCCTCCTCTCCTCCTCCGCCTCCTTTCCTCCTCCTCCTCCTCCTCCTCCTCCTCGTCCTCCTCCCTGCCCTGGTCGAGGGCAGAACGAAGGGCGAGATTAGAGGAGGAACCAACCGTACAAACATAAACTGTGAGAGCTCCGCGCAAGTGTCATTCATGCTCTGCTGGTCCACCTGTCCATCACTCCTCCCAAGAAGAGGCAACGACAAAAGCATAAACTCTCGGAGCTCCGAGCAGGTTTCATGCTATGCTGTTCCATCTCCCTCTTCCCTCTTCCCAAGAAGAAACGACTAAAAAACATAAACGTTCGGAACTCCGCGCGGATTTCTTGGATCGGCGCCGCCCCTGGCGCGCTCCGCGCGCCAAGGAGGGGGTCCAGCGCCGATACAAGAATCCGCGCGGAGCTCCAACAGTTTCTGTTGACGCATATATGTCTCCTTCGGAAGAGGGATGGCGAGATGGATCGGCAGAGCATGAGAGCAACGCCCGCCCATCCCTGTCCGCTTGCCTCCTGTTCCTAATCCTTTCGCCTCATACGCCCCGTCTTGTGGCGTACCCCATCCATCGAAGCTTGCACAAGGGAAGACACGGAACATTGGAAGCTAGTGATACAATACTGCCTCAGCAGTTGGGCATGCGTATTCGTGAAAGGCTGCGAGACGCCGCACGTGTAAAGAAAATAAGTTCGGAAAGACAGGAAGGCGAATCTGCCAAATGCATCCCGTTCAAAACCAAGTTCGTGGCCAATCGAACCGCGATGAATCAATTAGACAATTCGGAGCTTGCGCGATGATCTGTAAAGGGAAATACTCAAACGAACCTGTCGTTACTTCCTCGCCTCCGAGGCCAGCCAAAATACAAGCGAGCGTGCGTGTGCAAGGACATGTTGCGGCAATATGCTTAGCTACAGAGCAATCACTACTAGCAGGTTGGCCAGCTGATCAGAGCTCGCGTTCGGCATCACTCTCCGCATCGCTCCGACGATGTGTCTCCACCCTTCCTCTCCGTGTTCTTCCCGCTTCTGATCCAAGAAGGACAAGACAGATAGGCCTGCTCTTCCCTCACTGCCCCTCCTCTCCCTCTCCCTCCCTTCCTCTCCCCCCCTCCCCTCTCTCTCTCTGTTGCGCTGCCCCTCCCTCATGATCTCTGCACACATAAGAACCGAACCACCAGAGACAGAGAGAGAGAGAGAAGAAACCGCGCGCGCGCTTCGCGCGCGCTTCGGTTCCAGCGCAGTCCATGGGGGCTGTGATGAAGCGCAGGTGTAGCAGTCCTTGGGCCTCCCCTTGTCATCCCCCCTCCTCCCGGTCCGAATCTTCCTGGACGGACGACGGAGGCTCGACCCACGGCTCCGAAAACCAACCAGAGGAAGAATGGGAGAGGGGAGGGATGGGGGACGGAGGGAGGAGACTAGGCAAAGGCTTCCACTGACGCGTGCCGAGCAGCGACTCGCCTGCCAGGGGTGGGGGGGGGGGGCAGTTGAAACAAGGCCTCGAGACGGCGCACAAGCTGTCAGTCGGCCCTGGAGGCGAGAGGGACGAGGCCAAGAAGAGGGAGCGTTGGAGCCCCGGCACCTCGGCCGTCAAGCTGTCTGGACCGTCGGCGGGAGGCAGGAGGGAGCGATCGAGGATCGAGGGGATTGAGGCTTTGAGCGAGGCTCCTTGCGGGCTCTCGGGGGCCTATGGGACCCTCTTGGAAACCTTTTGAAGGCCTCGTGGGGCCCCTGCGGGGGTTCTTGGGGCGTATAAAGGGGGGGCGTCGTGGGGGCCTACTGGAGGCTGGCTGGTGGTCCTGGCCTGAGGGGTGCCTCCTCTTTCGGAGGCGGCCCAGAAGGGGGCGTCCAGGGGGGGGGGGGCCGCAGATCATTGCCGGCGGCATGCGCGCGCCCCAAGGGGGGGGGGGGCCAGGGACGTAACGAAATAAGAAGGGGCGCCGTGAGATCTGAGGAAATGTCATGGCCCACGCCATGATATCAATTCCCCCCCTAGTCTTAGGTCGGGTGTGTCCCCCTACAGGCGGATTTTGGACGAAAAAAGATCCAACTAATACCCAAAAATAGTCAAAACATAGACCAAAAATCGTCCCCTGACTATTTTTTTACTATTTTTGAACATTCCTCCTGTAGAGGGGCACGCCCGACTTAAACCCTAGTCATCACCCCCCTCCTTGGCCGCCCCCGACTCCTGGAGGGGGGCACCGACGCGAGCGCGACGGCGAGCACTCCCCGGGCGCGCCGCGAGACCCCAACCTGGCCCCCTCCCTCCGCAGCGGGGCGGCTCGGCAGGGACCCGAAACTCTGGGTGTCGCGCGAGGAAGTGCTTCAAGCCTGCCGCCGCAGGGAGGAAGCTGGGCACGTATGATCGCTCAAGCGGTCCTCATCCCCACTGGCACGGGCTTGGCCCCACCGGCCCACCCACCCCTCGCCGGGAGGTGGCATCTGCTATTCCCTCCGGGATCCGCGGGGCCTGTCCAGGGGCATGGGCTGGCGGGGGCTGAGATGCCGCGGCCGCGTAAGGACAGGGATCGGCTAGACGATGCTGAGAGTAGCGGCGGCAGCAGAGAAAGGAAGAAGAAACATCTCCATAAACATAAACCTCCGGAGGTTTCCCTGGATCTGCGCTGAGCCCTCCTCCCTGGCGCGCGAAGCGCGCCTGGAGCGGCGCCGGAGGCGCCGCCAGAGAAGTGCAGCGAAGATCCAGGAAATCCGCGCGCAGCATCGAAAACTTATGTGTATATCGCTGGCTTCGTTGCCCGTCGGTCGGAGGAAGCAGGCAGAACCACGAAGCAGCAAGGCGGTGGAAGCAGACTGGGTGTCCGCCCGCCCCCCGAAGAAGAGGGAAGAGGGAAAACCGTTCGGCTCTTGACGTAGGAAGGCGGCGAAAGTAGATTGGCATCTGGGGATCCAAAAACACCTGCCCTCAAGGACCGGCGTGTATTCTGCAAGCGAGAGAGCAAGAGAGAGAGAGAGACGAGCAGGGTGGCCGCCGGGGCAGACGCGAGCGCACGAACGAGCGGGCAGGCCGAGCGAGTGCTGGGGCGCGCGTGGGGGCGAGGGGGACGCAGCAGCGGCGGCGGCAGGGGCAGCGGAAGTTCAGGAGCGGGCAGGTCGAGAATGAGACTCAAAACGAACAAAGCAACAATCGAGAGGAACAACGGCAACAGCCAGTTTGAGACTATGCGTTCTAATCTGCTCGCGCGTCACTCGGCATGTGAACAGGAAGACCCTCGGTATCCGCCCTTCGTCTTCGATCATACCCCACTTGGCCGTGCATCTTCCTCGGCGAGAGAGAAAGCGTGATTCCTCAGTGTCGAAGGCGCGGCGACTCCATAAATCGCGAAGAAGCACCACGCGAGGGCGCAACTCCTGGATAAATTGTAAGAACGCGATTTTGAAAAACATGTGAGGCGGGAGCCTTTATTGTTGTTACTGTTGTTGTTATTGTTGTTGTTGCTGTCAGCCGGGGGCCAGCAAGACAATCTGACACGGGCGACTTTCCCTTGCTAGAAACAAGTGGCGAGCCTCAGAAGGGGCACTTCTATTGAAAAACATAATGGGCACCGGGGGACTGGTCAACAATAATTGTTCCTTCGAAATGGGCATTCAACAGCAACAAACATTCTAAGATTGCTCGTTCTTATCTGATGGCGTGTGATTCAACATGTATATCGGAGGCTGGGGGGTGAGTCCGACGTGAAACGTGAAATCGATTTCGATTCGGGTTCGTGCCGTGCGTGCCGTGCGTGCGTGCGGGCGAGGCGAAGCTGCGTGGGCGGGCGAGAAGCAATCCTCCTCTGGCTGGGCCGCGGCCGGACCAAATGTTCCTCCTCCAGCGGCCGGTGCCGCGCGGTGTCTCGCTGGTGTCCCGCTGGTGTCCCGAAATCCTCCTGTGGCTGCGCCGCGGCCAGACCAAATGTTTCTCCTCTGGCGGCCGGTGCCGCGCGGTGTCCCGCCGGTGTCCCGCTGGTGTCCCGTGGTGTCCCGTGATGTCCCGTGGTGTCCCGTGGTGTCCCGTTGAATGAGATCGATAGTGAGATCGATAGTGAGATCGATACTGAGATCGATGTGGTGCCCCGAGGTGTCCCGTGGTGTCCCGTTGAGCGAGATCGATAGTGAGATCGATAATGAGATCGACAGATGTCCCGTGGTGTCCCGTGGTGTCCCGTGGTGTCCCGTGGTGTCCCGTGGTGTCCCGTTGGGTGAGCTCGATAGTGAGATCGATACTGAGATCGGTGTGGTGCCCCGAGGTGTCCCGTGGTATCCTGTGGTGTCCCGCTGAGTGAGATCGATCGTGAGATCGATAGTGAGATCGATGTGGTGTCCCGAGGTGTCCCGTGGTGCCGTTGAGTGAGATCGATAGTGAGATCGATCGTGAGATCGATAGTGAGATCGATGTGGTGTCCCGAAGTGTCCCGTGGTGGCCCGTGGTGTCCCGCTGAGTGAGATCGATAGGGAGATCGATAGTGAGACCGATAGTGAGATCGAGAGGTGTCCCGCGGTGTCCCGTGGTGTCCCGTGGTGGCCCGTGGTGCCCCGTGGTGTCCCGTTGAGTGAGATCGATAGTGAGATCGATAGTGAGATCGACAAGTGTCCCGTGGTGTCCCGTGGTGTCACGTTGAGTGAGATCGATAGTGAGATCGATTGAGTCAGATGTTGGTTCCCCACGCTCTCCCCTCCCACACAACCTACTTATCACCCGAAGGGTGGTCGTATAGGTACCAAACCCTCGATACCCGCCCTCTTCGTCTTCGGTCATGCCTTCCCTCGGGGTGTCTCTTCCTTAACTGCCAGGTCGAGTTGACGCAGCCCCTAAAACCAGGGGAAGGGAGGATGGAAGGGAAAACGGGGAGAGAGAAGGATGGAGCACGACGGAGACTGGCAGGAGGGGGGCCAGGAGGATACAACCAAATAGTGCAGCCAGACGGGCGCGTCGAGCGGGGCGGGGCGGGCGAGCGGGCCCAGACGGCGAGGTCGAGCAGGCGGGTCGCTGCAGCGTCTGCCCCGCATGAGCCAAGAAAGGTCTCGGGCGACAGCGCGATTCTCATATAAAGCGCGAGGAAATTCAAGGCGAGAGCGTGAGTCCTGAGAGTCGAATGCGCAGCGATTCTATAAACTCCTGGATAAATTGTGAAGAAGTCCTGCGCGAGAGCGCGATTTTGAAGAATTATCAGGCTGGAACGGCTGTTGTTGCAAACTGGTGGCCATCAACACAATCAGAGGCGAAATACTCTCTCTTGTTAAGACAAGTGCGAGCCACAGGAGAGGCACTTGAATTGAAAAACGCAATGAGCACCGGAGGGTCAAAAGAAATGCTTGGGAAGTGGGAATTAAATAGCAACTCTCCTTTCCAGATTGTTCGTTCTTATCTGTTCGCGAATCACTCAATATATACCCAAACCCTCGATGCCCGCGCTCGTCGCCTTCGGTCATACCCCCCTTGGCGGTATATCTTCCTTGCCTGCCATGTGTAGTCAGAGCAGCCCGTTCAACAGGGGAACGGAGGAGGGAAAGGATAACGGAAAGACAGAAGGATGAAGCACGACAGGGGTTAGCAGGAGAGGGGGGATAGGAGCACAAAAACAAGCGGCAGAACGGGACGGGCGGGTGAAGCGGGCGGACCCTAATGAGCGGGTCGGGCAGGTGGCCCAGACGGCGGGGTCGAGCGGGCGGGTCGCTGAAGAGTTCAGTCCTGCATGAATCGCGAGGAAGCCTCTAGCAGTAACGCGATTCCCGAGTAAATTGTAAGGAACTCCAAAACCAGAGCGTGATTCCTGACTGTTGGGGTTGGGGGCGCGGCGTCTCCATATATTGCAAAGAAATGCCAGGCGCGAACACGATTCCTGGACAAAGTGCGCGGACATCTAGCGCGACAACACGATTATGAAGAAGTTCTGAAGAAGAAGTATCAGGCGGAAACCGTTGTTGTTCTAACTCGTGGGAAAGGGGGCCAGTCTGAGGCTCCAGACGTGTTCTTGTCTTGATCTTGTGAAAAATATGGCGCGAGCCCCGGAAGGGGCACTTCAACTGCAAAAACACAGCGGGCAACGCAAAGGGGGATCAACAAAAATTCGCAGGCCCAACGGGCCAGAGGCGTGCTAAGATCTCCGGTAACAAATGAACAACATTCTAGTTCGCGAGCGCGTCGCGGCCCCTGGGGGTCCAAGAGCGAAAAAAAAACCCAAGCAACTCCTGGCAAGTCCCAATCAGAGATGCCGGATCTCTTGGGCGCGGGCCTGGGGGCCCCTGGAACCGTCCAGGAGCGGCCCAATGAGTCGACAAATTGGTGGCAGGCCCTACGGCCAGAAGCCGACAGCTTCTCAAGGCGGCCCAAGACGGCCTCACGATGACCCTCGATGCCCCCAACACGCCCCTCGAGGCTTCTAAGAGGCGCCCCAAGAGGCAGAAATCATTGATGTTATTAGGTTTTGGGATGTTTTCGGCACTATCGCCGTTTCGGCTTTCCGACGCTCCAAGAGGGACCAATAGGCCTCCAAGACCGCCCCAACACAGCCCAAGAGGCTCCCAAGACGGCCCCACGATCGCCCGAGACGGCTCCAAGACGGCCCAAGAGGTGGGCGCACGGACCCAAGAGCCCTCCAAGATGGCCCCAAGAGGGGCCCAAAAACGGTCCCAAATCGCCCCAAGCCTTTCAAGATGGCCGCAAAACGGTCCAAGAGGCCGCCAAGACGGCCCAAGAGGCTCCCAAGAGGCCTCCCGAGAGGTATCATGTTTTTGTTCTAAGGTTCTTGGAGGTTTTCGGCCTTACCCCAAGAGGGCCCCCAGACGGTCCAAGACGGCCCCAGAGGCGCCCAAGATCGCCCAAGAGGGCCCCAAGACGGCCCCAAGAGGGGCCCAAGAGGGGGAACACGAACCACCAATTCGAGCCTTCCGCCCCAAGAGGCCACCGGGAGGCCCCAAGATGCCCCCAAGAGAGCCCAGGAGGCCCCCTGGAGGCCCCAAACCCCCAAGAGGCCAAAAGAGGCTCCAGGAGGCCCCCAAACGGCCCCCAAGAGGCCCCAAGAGGCCACGAACGCCCAGGCAAACGCATGCGATGGCACAATACAGGCCGGAGCGAGCGAAGCGACTCAATCACTTTCTTGTATTGTTCTTTATTTTTGAACAAAAAGAGAAGAAAAGACGCTGACCACGATCCTGTGCACGACTAGTGTCTCTTCCTTCTCGCGTTTACCCTCGCATCCCTACCCTGCCCCTAGTCCTCGTCCCCCTGGCGCTGCGCCTCTCTGTCCACAACCCCTCGTCCCGCTGTGCGTTCTCGTTCTCCTCGTCCTCCTCCTCTCCTCTACGTTCCCCAGAAAGGTTATCCTCTCCTCTATCTTGCCCAATTTGCCCTGTATGGCCCAATACCTGGCGGCGTCCCACCGGATGCCATTTCTGACTGTTCGGAGTGGGCTGCCCCTGCCGGCGCCATGCTCATGCTTCCTGCACGCCAGCTGGCACAGCAGGATGTACTACAACACTGATCCTCTTGACCATGCTAATGACAACGTCTTTGACACATGAAAGCCCGAGCCACCAGGACGACGATGCCTCCTGCAGCCGCGTGCTGCTCGCAACCCGATTAAGACCTACGTGGGGAATGCTTGAAGACTGCCCATCTCTACCAAACACCAAACGAAACCAAACATATTCAGGCTTCCATCGCATTCCGCTTTCCTCAATTCTGACCTGGGAATTTAACGTTCGGACAGACATGCTCGCACTCCCGTGGTTACCAGCCTGGCTCTAGGCATCACTGCCTGCAAACATCCATGATGACAAAAGCGCGGAAGTGAAAAAAGCACGCCTAAATTTGTGCGACGGAGGTAGTTCCGCGCAGGTGCTGACAACGCGATGCCTGATACAGGGAAAGCGGGCCGAGGCGTAATTGGACTCGGAAGGATGGAGCAGACATGCAAACGGTGCAGGACAGATAGAAGAGACACGGCGATCACGTGAGATGGTACCAACTCCAAGAGCATTCCAAATAGCACTAACAAGGAAGGGGACAAGACGTTGAAAGAACAGTTCGTGGGACGCTCAGAGACATACTAATGCTGTATGTTCTTCTTGGAGGCACGCGTCCGACCCGAACATATAGTATACCCATCTTGTACATCGTTTCCCGAGCGGTGTGGTCAGGAAGCGCCCGCCACGACGCATGCACTATAAGACTTCCCGGTGCGGGCGTCGCCGATGGGGGGGCGACGCACATATAGTATCAGTATGTTGGGGTGATGCCGAGTTCGGCCTGCGGGGCAACACCTCATCTTGCAACTGGGTTGGCAAGCCCCCTGAAAGGCGAAGACTCTTCGGGACCCAAGAAGCGCTGCAAACTTTGAGCGCGTTGTGCTGGCGACGTGCCTTCCACTAGAAGTCCCACCTGCTCGGCATTCGGCCGAAGGGTCTTGAGTTCATCCCGGAAGCCCATAGATGAGATAGAAGAGCTGCGAAACCTAACGACAATTCGGAACCAGCGGCACAAACAACCTCGAGGCGAACATTTTGTGTGTGTATGTGTGCATGTGTATGTGTGTATGTGTATGTGTGTTTGCGTGTCTGTGTTTACGTGTGTACGTGTGTATGTGTGTATGTGTGCATGCGTGTGTTTGTATGTGTATATATGTATGTGTAGGTGTGTTTGTATATGTGTATGTGTACATGTATGCGTAAGTGCATGTGTGTATGTGTACGTGTATGTATATGTGTGAATGTGCATGTGTATGCGTATGTGTATGTGTACGTGTATGTGTGAAAGTGTGTGTGCGTGGGTGCGTGTGTGTGTGTGTGGGCGCGTGCATGGTGTGTATGTATGTATGTATGTATGTATGTGTGTGTGTGTGTTTGCGTGCGTGCCTGCGCGCGTAAGAGCGTAAGTGCGTGCTTTCCTGCGTGTGCGTGTTGCGTCCCGAATCGCCACCCGCTGGAGCAGACCGCCTCTGCGTCGCCGCCGACGAAAAAGCTGTGTGTATGTGTGTGTGCGTGTGCGAGCGTGTGCGCGTGAGTGCGTGTGTGCGCGTGTGCACGCGTGTGCGCGCGTGTGCGCGCGTGTGCGCGTGTGTGCGTGGGTGTGCGCGTGAGTGCACGTGTGAGCGCGTGTGTGCGCGTGTGCGCGTGTGTGTGTGCGCGTGTCTGCGCGTGTCTGCGCGTGTGCGCGCGTGTGTGCGCGCGTGGGTGTGTGGGTGTGTGGGTGTGGGTGTGGGTGTGGGCGTGGGTGTCTGTCCGTGTGTGCGTGTGTGCGTGTGTGCGCGTGGGCGCGTGGGCGTGTGTGCGTGTGTGCGTGAGTGCGTGTGTGCGTGTGTGCGCGCGTGCGTGCGGGCGGGCGTGTGTGTGTGTGTGTGTGCGTGTGCGTATGTGCGTTTGTGTGCGTGTGCGTGTGTGCGTGTCCATGTGCGGGTGCATGTGCGGGTGCATGTGCGTGTACGTGTGCGTGTGCGTGTGCGCGTGCGTGTGCGCGTACGCGTGCGCGTGCGTGAGGGGGTGGGCGTGGGGGTGTGTTTGTGGGTGTGTGTGGGGGTCTGTGAGGGTGTGTGGGGGTGTGTGGGGGTGTGCGGGGGCGTGTGAGGGTGTGTGGGGGCCGTGTGGGGGTGTGTGGGGGTGTGGGGGTGTGTGGGTGTGTGTGTCTGTGTGTGCGTGAGCGTGTGGGAGTGTGTGGGTGTGTGGGTTGGTGTATATGCGTGGATGCGTGCGTGCGTGCGTGCGTGCGTCCTTGCGTGCGTGAGCGTGAGCGTGAGCGCGAGCGCGAGCGTGAGCGTGAGCGTGAGCGTGAGCGTGCGTGCGCGTATGTGTGTGTGTGTGGTGTGTGGGTGTGTGGGTGGGTGTGTGTGGGTGTGTATGCGTGCGCGCGCGCGTGTGCGTGTGCGTGCGTGCGGGCGTGCGTGGGTGCGTGCGTGGGTGCGTGCATGCGTGCGTGTTTGCGTGCGCGCGTGCGTGCGTGCGCGCGTGCGTGCCTGCGCGCGCGCGCGTGCGTGTGCGTGCGTGCGTGCGTGTGTGGTTGTGTGTGTGTGGGTTCCTGCTCGGGCTGGAACATGAAGACCTGTACTGCACATGTCACCGCTGTGGCAGAACCAAAAACGGCTTGAGACGGCGAATAACCGCGCCAAAACCAGCCGCCGGCTGTCGGGGCCGTGTGGGGCACATCTGATGTGCGGTCACGCCACGATCTTTAGAAGTATGTCCAGCTGAACTCGCTTTACGCAGCTTGATTCGCCGACCACCTCTTCAGTGCAAAAATATTCCGCATCATCACTTCACCCAGTGTGGCGCTTCTGTGCAATCCACTTGGCAAAACAAACAATCTTTCCCTTGTCAAGTTCTCCTCAGCGTACCAGCCTACTTTCCCACTATAGCATGCAGGATACACAACATTCGTTCGACATCCTTTGCCCACCCTCATCAGGTGCCTACCAAATCTCAGTCCGGATGGGAAGCTGCGATTCGATATTGCACGGTGTCGGAACCCGCCCAAATCCGTTTGCTGCTCCTGCTCGTCCCTCGCCCCCATCCTCCTCCTCCTCCTCCTCCTCCTCCTCCTCCTCCTCCTCCTCCTCCTCCTCCTCCTCCTCCTCATCGTCATCATCATCATCATCAGCATCAGCATCATCATCATCATCATCATCATCATCATCATCATCATCATCATCATCATCATCATCATCATCAGCATCAGCATCATCATCATCACCACCTCACCATCATCTCATCATCCTCATCATCATCATCATCATCATCATCATCATCATCATCATCATCATCATCATCATCATCATCATCATCATCATCATCATCATCATCATCATCATCATCATCATCATCATCATCATCATCATCATCATCATCATCATCATCATCATCATCATCATCGTCTTCATCATTATCATCATCATCAGCAGCAGCATCATCATCGTCATCCGCATCAGCATCGTCATCATCACCATCATCACCAGCATCACAATCAGCATCAGCATCAGCATCATCACCATCATCACTTTGATCATCACCATCACCATCACCATCACCATCGCCATCACCATCATCATCATAATCATCAGCATCATCATCCGTATCAGCATCAGCATAATAACCATCATCATCATCATCATCATCATCATCATCATCATCATCATCATCATCATCATCATCTTCATCTTCATCTTCATCTTCATCATCATCATCACCATCACCATCACCATCACCACCACCACCACCACCATCATCACCATCATCATCATCATCATCATCATCATCATCATCATCATCATCATCATCATCATCATCATCACACGCCTCCTGCTTCTCCTCCTTTCTATCATCCGCCTTCTCATAAGCATCGTCATCCCGCGTGTTCTCTCCCCTCCTGGTCCTCCTTCCGCGGAACGCGGTACGTGTAGGGGGGCACCTTGTGTCGGGCAGGTGGAATTGCGCGCTCGGGCTTCCTCTCGTCGTCTGGGAGCCGTCGTGGGCTGAGCCGTTCTTGAGGCTGTCTTGCGGCCCTTTTGGACCGTCTGGGGGCTCTCCCAGAGGGTTCCTGGGGCGTCTTGGGCTCGGAAGGCTTGTGGGCGGCGCTGAAGGCATTGAACAACGCTGAGGCGTAGATGCTGAAAATGTACGTTTCCCCATGGGAATTTGACGATTTGGGCGCCTCGGAAGCTTCCAGGGCAGGTCCTGGGAGGTCTCTTGGGGCCTTCTGGGGGCCTCCTGGGGGCACCTCGTGTTGGGCAGGTGGATCAGTGGGCTCCGGCTTCCTCCCGTGGGCTGCTCTTGGCGCCGCCTGGGAGTCGTCTTGGGCTGTTTTGTGCGCCTCTGGGGCGTTCTTGGGGCGGACTTGGGCCCCTGTTGGACCGTCTGGGGGCTCTCTCGGGGGGGTCCTGGGGCGTCCTGGGGCAGGCTCGGAGGGCTCTCTGGCGGCGTGGAAGGCGTGGAATAACGCTGAGGCGTGAATGCTGAAAGCGCACGGTTTCCCATGGGAATTTGACGATTTTTGGCGCCTCGGAGGCTTCCAGGGCAGGCCCCGGGAAGTCTCGTGACGATCTTGGAACGCTCTGGGGCCGTCTGGGAGAGGCCTACGAGAGCGCTCGGAAGAGACCCCAAGAAGCACCCCTGAGGACTCTACCCACATCAGCGTCGTCATCGCTACCGCCGCCGCCGCCGCCGCCGTCGTCGTTCCCCTTAGGGACGGGTCCCGGAGCTCAAAAACGCCTCTGGACGAGAGAAGATTGCCCCGAGACGCCTTCAAGACAGTTCAAGAAAACGTTGAATCGCCGAACGAACTGTGCAAGACGCCTTCGCAGCCTCTGGACGGCCCCATAGGCCTGCAAGACGGCGCAAAATGCCTCCGGGCGCAATCCCACGAAGGGCCTGAACAATTTTTGAACGATTCTCGCTGCAAACATCCGTCCGCTCAAGACGGCCCTAGAAGCCTCCAAGATTGCTCCAAAACGGCCAAAAAGACCACCGAAATGACCCAAGAGGCCTCCAAGACGGCATCAAGACGGTGCAAGAAGGGCCTTAGATGGCCCAGGACCGTACCATAAGAGCCCCAAGCTAGCCCACGAGGGCCTTCGGAGGAATCCAAGACGGCCCACGAAGGCCACCAAGACCGCCAAGATGGCCCAAGACAGCCCAAGAGGGCTCCAACAGGACCCTCGGGAGTACCCGAAAAGACAAAGATCAGCAATCTCCTCAAGTTATTGAAAGATTTTCGCTTCGGGCTTCCGTCAGCTCAAACATGGCCCAAGAAGCCTCCAAGATTGGCCCAAGACAGCCCAGGAGAGCCCCAAATTGCCCAGGAGGCCTCCAAGAGTGCCTCGAGACGGCGCAAGAGGAGCCCTGGACGGCCCAAGACGGCCTCAAGAGAGCCCCAGGCTGTCCCAAGAAAGCCTCTGGCCTCCTCCTCCTCTTCCTCCTCCTCCTCCTCCTCCTCCTCCTCCTTCCTCCTCCTCCCTCCTCCTCCTCCTCCTCCTCCTCCTCCTCCTCCTCCTCCTCCTCCTCCTCCCTCCTCCTCCTCCGCCTCCTCCTCCTCCTCCTCCTCCTCCTCCTCCTCCTCCTCCTCCTCCTCCTCCTCCTCCTCCCTCCCCCCCCTCTGCTCCCCCAACTCCTGCTCTCCTCTGCCTCCTTCTCCTCCTCTTGCTTCTCCACCACTTCTCCCCCCTCCTCCTCCCTCATCCACCTCCACCCTTCCTCCACCTCCCACTCATCCTCCTCCCCCTGCCCCCCCCTCGTTTTCATCTTCGTCGTTCTCAGGGTCGGCGGCACCGGCCGTAAGGCCTTCGCAATTACGGTCAGGAGATTTCGCTTAGCGTGTCGCGGCGGCGGCCCCAGGGACACGCGATGCCCTACGATTAGGTCGGGCGTGTCCTCCTACAGGCGGATTTTGGAAGATAATCAACAAATACTCGAAAGAATCAACCATACTAGAAAAATCGTCCCCGGGCTATTACTAAACTATTTTTGAACTTTCCTCTTGTAGAGCGACACGCCCGACTTAAATGTGGACACCTGGGAACCGGGAAAGGGATAGCGTGCCACGCCGAAGCGTGGTGGCCCAGAGCCAGCGAAGCGACACGTTATCCAGCGTTTCCCGATCAGGGGGGAGGGGGAGGGGGAGGGGGAGGAGGAGGAACGAGGAGGAGGAGGAGGAGGAGGAGGAGGAGGAGGAGGTGGAGGAGGAGGAGGAGGAGGAGGAGGAGGGGGAGGAGGTGAGGGCAAGCTAGATCGCTCGCGTCATATCTGACATCCTACCCCTCCCTCCCGTCCCTTACCATGGCGTAGATCCCCTCTCTACTCGCACAGTCGGATGTCGAGCAGGGCAATGATCCCGAAAGGGTACGCGATGCATTGCAGAGCACGGCATGGCATGGCGTAGAAAAGCACCGCAAAACGTAGTACGTCACATAATGGCGTGGCGTGGCGTAGTGAAGAATTGCATCACAAGGCTTTGCAACGCAAAGCATGGCATCGCACAGCGGCCCCGAACAGAACATTGCATAGCATGGCGTTGAAGATCAAAGCGTAGCAGGGCATAGCACGACGTGGCACTTAAGCACTGCATATCACAGCTTCAGCTGAAGGCATGGCATCGCGCAGCGGAACGCAACCTAGCATTGCATTGCATGCCGTGGCATGGCACAGGAAATGACGCCAGCGCTGCAGCGGGAGCACGATTCGGAACGAGCGGAAGCGCGGAAATGAGGCCAGCGCTGCAGCGGGAGCACGATTCGGAACGAGCGGAAGCACGGAAATGAGGCCAGCGCTGCAGCGGGAGCACGATTCGGAACGAGCGGGGCCCGAAAATGAGGCCGGCGCCTCAGCGAGAGCAGCATTTTGAAAAAAATGCAGGCGAAAACCCAATTCTGGGGAATCCTTTTGTAAAAAACAATACGCGGGGGGGGGCGAACACTCCCAACCCGTCATCAGGGTAAGGAGGAGAGTAGTATTCATATTGAGTAATTGTAAAAGGGGGAGGAGGAGGAGGAGGAGGAAGAGGAGCACGAGGAGGAGGAGGAGGAGGAGGAGGAGGAGGAAAGACGAGAGGAGGAGAGGACGCCGGAGGGACGGGCCCGAGGAGGAGGAGGAGGAGGAGGAGGAGAGGAAGGACGACGACGACGAGGAGAGAGGCGGAAGGGAAGAGGAGGGAGGAGGTGGAGGAGGAGGAGGAGGAGGAGGAGGGGGAGATGCCGTTTCGTTTCTCCTTCGAGTCAGGGCGGGGAGGAGGGGGAGCCGCGCGCGGGCCCCCGCGAGGGAGGCGCCGGGCGCCGGGCGGTGCCGAGCATGCTCAGCAGCAGGTGGGGCCCCTGAGACCGCATGTGCTCGCGGCACTCCTCGCAGGCGGGCGGCCCCCCGCTCCGCGTCGCCGCCGCGTCGCGTGCGCGTCGCCTCGGCCCGCCCCCCCCCGCGCCAGCCCCCCCCCCTGCTCCTCCTCCCTCGCCTCCCCTGCCGTCGCCTCGCCTGCCCTCGCCCCCCCCCCCCCCCGTTTTTCCCCTTCCCCTCCCCCCTCCCCCATCCCCCTGCGCCCCCCCGCCCCGAGCTAACCCCTCGGCCTCCCCCCTCCCCGTCCCCTCGTCGCCCCCATCTCCCCTTCCACGCCGTCCCCTCCACCTGCATCCTGTCCCCGTCCCCTCGCCACCCCCCTCCCCTCGCACCTCATCCCCTTGCGTTGGTCTCGCGTCCCCGCGCACCGAACCGAGCGCGGGGCAGAAGTGAAGCACGCGGCCCTTATTGGCATGGCGTCGTAGTGTAACAGGCTGGGGTCGCGACCTCCTCGTGTCGCACGACCCAGACCACCTCGTCGTGTCGCGCTACAAAAACATAGCGGGAACCTGTCTGCTATGTTTGGCCTCTGCGAGCCCTCGCTGGGCCCCGTGACCATCTCGGGGAAGACTTCGTATTGATTTTTTAATATCAGGATGGAAGGGCCCGGATTGACGTCCGCGCGCGATGTGCACCGCGTCCCGTTCCTGCCACGCATTTCGCATCGTCGACGACAAGACAGGCCATGCTGAGAGTAAAACAATGACTTTGTATGGTTTTTTTTTGTTGACAAAAAAAGTTAAGATGGGAGGGCATGGATCAACGGCCGCGCGCGATGTGCGCCGCGTCTTATTCCTGCTACGCATTTCGCATCGTCGACGACAAGAAAGGCCATGCTGAGAGAAAAAAGACGACTTTGAATTGAATGTTTACAGTTATGATGGGAGGGCCCGGATTGACGGCCGCGCGCGATGTGCGCCGCGTCCTACTCCTACCACGCATTTCGCACCGTCGACGACAAGAAAGGCCATGTTGAGAGAAAAACGACGACTTGTAATGATTTTCTACGATTAGGATGGGAGGGCCCAGATGGGGCCGTTCTCGGCTGGCCAGAGGAGTAGATTCTAATGCGGAATCAGGCTAGGAGTAGGAGGAGGAGGAGGAGGAGGAAGAACCTTCCCTTGCGCGCGCACATGCCGCTCGCGGCACGGGCCGGGCGAGAAGAGGTCGCCTGAGATTCGGGCAGGTGAAATTGGGGGGGGGACCTACAGTAGGAGCTCGACCACAGGAGACCTTCGACAAGAAGCCCAGACCTGAGATCCCAGGGCGTGCATGGATTTTCGGTGTGGGGACCTCGCGCCTTCCATGGCAGAACCAGCGAAACCCGAGGAACCCGGGGCACCCTGGAGGCAAGCGGGGTGCTTCTTGGCATGGGCTCCCACTGCAGGCAAGCGCGGCCTCTGGTGCGCGGCGTCCGAGGGCCGCGGGAGGGCCAGACCCGAGCGCGCAAGACGCTGCTCTCGCATCGCGCGCATCGCGCGCATCGCGCGCATCGCACCAGCCCTGGCCAGGCCCACCCAGGGGCCCTGGCCTGGAGGTCTGTACGCCTGGCCAGGGCCCAGGATGGGCCTGGCCAGGGCTGGTGCTGGTGCACTGCTGGCGCCCCTCCGAATCTGGGCCCTGGTGTCAGGTCGGGCGTGTCCCCCGACAGGCGGATTTGGGACGAAAATGACAAAATAACCCAAAAGTGTACAAATATTTTGAAAAATGGCCAAACATTCGTCCCCGGACTATTTCTAGTATCTTTGAACCTTCCTCCTGTAGAGGGACAGGCCCGACTTAACCCGAGTGCCCGCACCGCGACAGGTCACTTTTGCGTGTAGCCGACTTGTGGCAGGCCTCGCCGAAGAGCTGGCCGAGACTGGCGCGACGGAAGCACTTCCGCTCCTGCCGACCGGGGGGACAAGGAGGAAGCACGCGCGGGGGCCTCCTCCAACTCCTCCTCCTCCTCCTCCTCCTCCTCCTCCTCCTCCTCCTCCTCCTCCTCCTCCTCCTCTCCTCCTCCTCCTCCTCCTCCTCCTCCTCCTCCTCCTCCTCCTCATCCGCCCTCCTCCTCCTCCTCCCCTCCTCCTCCTCCTCCTCCTCCTCCTCCTCCTCCGCCCTCCTCCTCCTCCTCCTCCTCCTCCTCCTCCTCCGCCCTCCTCCCTTCCTCCGACGTGCACATTTTTTCCGCGGCGTCGGCCCCCGAGGATCTCGACCGCTTCCCCCCGGAGCGGCCTGTCATCCCGGAGCGGCTTTTTGGCGGCCCCGGACCCCACAGGCCCCGTAAACGAACCAGGCCCTCCGTCGCGACGGTTGTCCCAACTCCAGGAGGTCTGACCCCTGCCGATCTGACCTGCTCAATCCACGGCCCCAGAGGTAAGCTGAAGCTAGGACGAGGACAAAATCGGGTGCGGATAGATCGAGATTCTCTGAGATCCCGCTGATCTGGGGGATGTATCGGGTGCCGCGGCCTTCTCAGAGCATTTGGGAACGCTCTGAGAGCGATCCGGAACGCTCGGGAACGGATTTTTTCCTCGTCCTGGCCCCGTCCGAAGAGGTCCCGAGTCCTCCCCACGGCCAGCTTGTCGCCGCCCAATACGGCACGCGGACGGAGCCACTGGGGCCTTCGGTGGGGCTCCCTCTGTCGACACGAAGCGTGCGAAGGCCCCGACAGTGGCCCCCCAAGGGCCCGCATCGAGGAGAGACCCGACACGGCATGCGGGCGGTGCCTCTGGGGCGAAGCGTGTGCGAGGGGCCTGCCGAAGTAGACCCGACACACGTCGGTCGGCAGAGTTAGGTGAAAACATGAAGATAGGAAGGCGGCCAGGGCAGACTTCTGGTTGACCCAAAAGGAGGTCCAGCTGAAAGGGGGTGGTGCAATAGGTTTGGGGCAATTGTATTGCAAATGTATTGCGTCAGAGAATTGTAATGCATTGTGTTGCAACTAACGTATTGCAAACGAAAACCCAGCAATACATCTGCGCCCCAGAATGTATTGCACGCCCCAAATCTATTGCAACCCTACTTTTTTATTGCACCAAATCTATAATCTATTGCACCACCCCCTTGTAGCTGGACCCCCCTTTTGGGTCCACCAGAAGACTGGGTCCAGGCCCTCCCAGAGCACAGCAAGCCGCAGCAGAAGCACATCGACTCTTGAGGCAGCGAGGCGCTCGAGGTAGACTGGGCCCTGAAGTCCGAGAGAGCGTGATCCACCGCCGCTTTACTGTGGAAAATTGCCAACCTTTTCCTCCGGAGCCCGGGGGTCTCCCCCCCCCTCCGACCCCCCCCCCCCCTGCTGGACCCCCCCCCCCTTCCTCCCCGGCAAAACCCCCCCTCCCCCTAACCCCCCCCCCCCCCCCCCCCCCCTCCCCCTCGAAAACTGGAGGGGTCACTACCGGTTCGAACCCCCTCCCCCCCCCCCCTCCGGTCCGGAAAACCGGGGGCGGTCGCTACCGGTGGAACCCCCCCCCCCTCGAAAACCGCAGGGGGGTCACTACCGGTTCGAACCCCTCCCCACCCACCCCCCACTCACCGCCAGCAAACGACTCCCAGTCCCTACCACCGTCCGCACCACATCCCCCACTGTTGTTCCCAGCACCACTGTCCTCACCACCACTGTCCCCACTGGTTCCACTACCGTCCCTATTGTCCCCACCAGTGCCCCCACCACTGTCGCACTGTCCCCACTGTTCCCACCACTGTTCCCACCACGGTTCCACTCTCCCCACTGTCTCCACGGACCCAACCACTGCCTATCCCCACTGTCCCCACTGTCCCACTGACTCCTCCGCTGTCCCACTGAAAATCCAACTGTTCCCACCACTGTCCCCACTGTCCCCACCGCTGTCCCCACTGTACCTCTGTCCCATTGTCCCACCGCCGTCCTCGCCACCGCCTTTACCACTGTCCCCACCACCATTGTACCCTCCACTGTCCCACTGTTTCCACCTCATTCCCACTGTCCCCACACCTCTGTCCCTACCACCTCCATCCCCACCACTGTCCACTGTCCCCCCTGTGCCCACCATTGTCCCCACCACTGTCCCCACCACTACTGTCCCCCCACCACTGTCCCACTGTCCCACTGTCCCCACCACTGTCCCGCTGTCCCCTCACCACTGTCCCCACCAACACCGTCCCCACCACTGTCCGCACCCCCACTCGGTTTTCGAGGGGGGGGTGGGTTCGAACCAGTAGTGACCCCCCCCCCTTTTCATGATGAACTGGGGGGGGGGGAGGGGTTCGAACCGGTAGTGACCCCCCCCGGTTTTCCGGAGGGGGGGGGGGGAGGGGTTCGAACCGCTGGTAGTGACCCCCCCCCGGTTTTTCCGCCAGCAGCGGTAGAACACGCTCTTTCTGAAGTCCAGAAATACCTACTTTTCTACGACCAGCGTGTACCGGGGGGGTGAGGAGGAGGAGGAGGAGAGGAGGGAGGAGGAGGAGGAGAGGAGGAGGAGAGAGGAGGAGGAGGGGGAGGAGGAGGAGGAGGAGGAGGAGGAGGAAGAGGAGGAGAACTAGGGGGGGGGAGAAAGGTGCACTTCTCGGGCCCTGCAGGCCCCTTGTTGGGGACCTCAGAGCCCCTTCAAGGACCCTCAAGGGCGCCCTTTTCTGCAGCCCTCGCTGCCCCCCGAGTTGCCGCCCCCCCGAAGGCGTCTCGATTCGTCGAGCCGGACGTTGTCGCCCAGTTTCGGGCCCCGGGCCTGTCAACGACCGGCGTGTGCGGCATGCGGACGCAGCCGCTGGAGCCTTCGGCGGAACGCCCGGGTTGAAGACGGCGACGGCGACGTCGGCGGCGACGGCGACTGCGACGGCGGCGGCGGCGACGACGCCGACGCCGACGCCGACGCCGACGTCGACGCCGACGCCGACGCCGACGCCGACGCCGCTGCGCCGGAGCTCCGGGCACGGCCCGCCGCCGAGGGCGGCGCGCGCCGAGTGCGAGGCCCTCGTCGCCGCCGCCGCCGCCGCCGCCGCCCCCGCCGTCGTCGCCGTCGTCATCATCGCCGTCATCGTCGCCGCCGCCGCCGCCGTCCCCCTTCGGGGTCAGCGGCGTAGGCCAGAAGGCCTTCGCGCTCGCTTCGCCGGAACTCTCTCCTCCTCCTCCTCCGCCTCCTCCTCCTCCTCCTCCTCCTCCTCCTCCTCCGCCTCCGCCTCCGCCTCCGCCTCCGCTCCGCCCTCCTCCTCCTCCTCCTCCTCCTCCTCCTCCTCCTCCTCCTCCTCCTCCTCCTCCTCCTCCTCCTCCTCCTCCTCCTCCGCCCTCCTCGTCCCCCTCCGCCCTCCTCCCACGGGGCCACGCGCGTGCGGCAGTGCCACGGGACTGGGCACGGCCCGCCGCCGCGGGCGGCGTGCCGCCGAGGGCGGCGCACGCTCTCCCGAGCGCCCCGCGTGCCGCCGAGCCCGGGCGGCCCGCCACCAGCGGGGAGCCGCGGCCGCGGCCGAGCGGCTGGGGCCCGCGGTCCTGCAGGACCCTCTCCTGGTCGCCGTCGCCTGCACGGGGGGGGGAGGGAGGGAGGGAAGGAGGGAGGAAGGAGGGGGAGGAGGACGAGGAGGAGGAGGAGGAGGAGGAAGAGGAGGAGGAGGAGAAGGAAGAGAAGGAGGAAGGAGGAGGAGGAGGAGGAAGAGGAAGAGGAGAAGGAGGAGGAGGCGGAGGAGGATGAGGCGGATGAGGAGGAGGAGGAGGAGGAGGAGGAGGAGGAGAAGGAGGTGGAGGACGCGGAGGAGGAGGAGGAGGCGGAGGAGGAGGAGGAGGAGGCGGAGGAGGAGCTGGAGAAGGAGACCAGTGCAAACCCACGACTCATCAACGATGTAGGGATAAGCCCTCCCCCAAGCTCCCTCCTCATAGGACCCTACAAAGGTTCATTTCAACCAAATCCGCCGACCCTGTCGGCGTGTGGACGAAGCTATTCCGTTTGATTCGTCGTCGTCGTCGTCATGGTCGTTGTCGTCGTCGAGCGCGCCAGCCACAGCGAAATTGAGCAAAGTTGTACTGGAGTCGAAAAGAAACCCCTTCCCAGTGATCCCTTCCCCGCCAGAGGGGGGAGGGCCAGGGAAGTCCTGGGGAAGTCCCCGGGAAGCCCCGGGTAAGTCCCCGGTCAAATACAACTTCCCCCTGGGCGGTTCGGGGGCCCAGAAAAATTATCCCGGCAAAGCAACCTAACAGCGATGTGTAAAAGCATATCTGGAAGCATTCCCCTTAAGATTTAGGTGAGAATCCAGTTGTAGAATTCTGCTGTTCTCGCAGTCGCAGCCTCAGCCTGCCTCGGTTTGCCTCGGCCTCAGCCTCAGCCTGCCTCGGCCTCAGCCTCAGCCTCAGCCTGCCTCAGCCTCAGCCTGCCTCAGCCTCAGCCTCAGCCTGCCTCGGCCTCAGCCTCAGCCTCAGCCTGCCTAAGCCCCAGCCTCAGCCTCAGCCTGCATCAGCCTCAGCCTCAGCCTCAGCCTGCCTCAGCCGCAGCTTGCCTCAGCCTCAGCCACAGCCTCAGCCTCAGCCTGCCTCAACTTCAGCCTCAGCCTCAGCCTGCCTCGGCTTGCCTCAGCCTCGACCTCAGCCTGCCTCGGCCTCAGCCTCAGCCTCAGCCTGCCTCAGCCTCAGCGTCAGCCTCTCAGCCTCAGCCTGCATCAGCCTCAGCCTCAGCCTCAGCCTGCCTCAGGCTCGGTCTCAGCCTGCCTCAGCCTCAGCCTGCCTCAGCCTCAGCCTCACAGTTGGCTCCGGGCAATCAAAATGTAGCCTGGGAATGGTGTTCTGGGAACACGAAAAACACGAAGTGGCCTACAGTTGGCTCCGGGCATTCAAAATGTGGCCCGGGAGTTGTGTTCTGGGAACACGAAGACCACGAAGTGCGTTACTGTTTGCTTAAAACGAATTCCCCGGCATCCCCCTGGATCGCGCCCAGACCCCCCTGGAGCGTCATGATGCTCTCTTTTGACCCTACTAGAAACCTATCAGTCTTCGCTGTTAGGTAAAAACAAAGACGCGGCAAAAATGCCCCAAAATACCCCCAGGACGGTCCTCGAGGGCCCCGAATCGCCGAAGTATCGGTCCACATCGCCAAAGTAGCCTCCAGACGGCTCAAAAGGTTTCCGAAACGTCCCAAGAAGCCTCCAAGAAGACTTCAAAGAGGGCACCAAAAAACAAATATTCACTGCGTGGAGCTCCCCATATGTGCATCTACTCGCATGGACCTGTCCGCCGTGAATGTCTAGGCGCAAGAGCTTTCGAATATTAACGGGCTTCAGTTGTGACGGTCTGGACATCAATCTAACTGCGAATGAATTGGAGTGTGAATGAGCCTCAGTAGTACGAGCGCGTCTCTGTGCATGAGCCTGGGGCCTCCTGGGGCCTCCTGAAACCTACTGGGGCTTCCTGGGGTCTCCAGGAGCCTCTTGGGACCTCCTGGGACCTCCTAGGAAGGTTTCGTGCCCCAGGGGAGGCGCAATCTATAGCAACAGACGTACATAAAACATTGCGGATTAGAGCCACAGGAGAAGGGCAATCTATAGGAACACGCGTAAAACACCAAGGACTCGTGCCCCAGGAGAGGCCCAATACATAGGAACATGAGTAAAACATTTAGGATTGTGTACACAGGAGAAGGACCATCTATAGAAACATACGTAGAACATCAAAGAATCGTGCTCCAGGTGAGGCCCAATCGATAGGAGCATACGTAAAACACATGGGATTGGAGCCACTCCTGTTGCCTTCTGAGGCCTCCTGCTCCTGGGGCCTCTCGGGGCCTCCTGTTGCCTTCCGAGGCCTCCTGGCGCTTCCTGTTGTCTCCTGGGGTCTCCTGTGGTTTCCTGAGGCCTTCTGGAGCTTCCTGGGGCCTCCTGGAGCCTCTTGGGACATCCTGTGGCCTCTTGAGTCTTTCTGTGGCCTCCTGATGCCTCCTGGGACCTCATGTGGTCTCCTGGAGCCTCCTGGAGCCTGTTGGAGCCTCCTGTGGCATCCTGAGAAGAATCTGCGCCCACGAGCCTGGCCACCAAAACTAACAAACCGATCGAGACATCCTCAAAATCTGGCCCACCTGGGGGGTGAAAATGAGCGCCTCGCTCGAGACATCCTCCAAATCTGCTCCGAAAGCGAAGGATGTTGGGCACAGAAACAGGCAAACCGCCTGAGACATCCCCACAAAATGGCCGCGAACGAGCCCGTGCAACCACCCCTGGCGGCTCCCCTTAGGGGTGCTGAAATGAGCGCCTCGCTCGAAACATCCTCCAAATCTGCTCCGAAAGCGAAGGATGTTGGGCACAGAAACAAGCAAACCGCCTGAGACATCCCCACAAAATGGCCGCGAACGAGCCCGTGCAACCACCCCTGGCGGCTCCCCTTAGGGGTGCTGAAATGAGCGCCTCGCTCGAGACATCCTCCAAATCTGCTCCGAAAGCGAAGGATGTTGGGCACAGAAACAGGCAAACCGCCTGAGACATCCCCACAAAATGGCCGCGAACGAGCCCGTGCAACCACCCCTGGCGGCTCCCCTTAGGGGTGCTGAAATGAGCGCCTCGCTCGAGACATCCTCCAAATCTGCTCCGAAAGCGAAGGATGTTGGGCACAGAAACAGGCAAACCGCCTGAGACATCCCCACAAAATGGCCGCGAACGAGCCCGTGCAACCACCCCTGGCGGCTCCCCTTAGGGGTGCTGAAATGAGCGCCTCGCTCGAGACATCCTCCAAATCTGCTCCGAAAGCGAAGGATGTTGGGCACAGAAACAGGCAAACCGCCTGAGACATCCCCACAAAATGGCCGCGAACGAGCCCGTGCAACCAACCCTGGCGGCTCCCCTTACGGGTGCTGAGTATGAGTAAGTCTATGTATGAGTAAGTCTGTGTATGTGTACGTCTGGGTATGACTAATACTGTGTCTGAGTAAGTCTGTGTATGAGTAAGTCTGTATATGAGTATGTCTGAGTGTGAGTAAGTCTGAGTATGAGTAGGTCTGAGTATGAGTAAGTCTGAGTATGAGTAAGTCTGTGTATGAGCAAGTCTGAGTATGTCCGACAGGAGGGGGCGAGAAAAGAGGAGGAGGAAGAAGGAGGAAGAGTAGGAGGCGTCCAAGTAATAACAAGAACCCCATCTTAGGATATGGGGAAAAATCATCGATTCCCCTGAGCTTCCTGAAAGATTTCGGCGTTTTCGCCTTGTCAGTTTCTCGACGCTCCAAGACAGGCCAGGAGGCCCCCAAGACTGCCCCAAGATGGCCCAAGAAGGGTCCAAGAAAACCCCAAAACGACCCACGAGGGCCCAAGACTCAAGACCGTCCAAGAGGCCTCCAAGACAATCGAAGAGGCTCCCAAGACGGTTGTAAGAGGCAGCCCAAACGGGGGACCCGGACGGACATGTCGAGCCCTCGGCTTGAGAAGCTTTCAGGAGGCCCCCAGAAACCACTAAGAAGCATACCAAGAAGCCCCAAGAGCCCAAGAGGCCCCCAAGAGACCCCCAGAAAGCCCTAAGAGGCCCCCACGAGGCTCCCAAGCGGCACCCAAGAGCTTCCCAAGAGGCCCCCAAACTACCCCGAGGAGGCCCCAGAGCTTCGTCGTTGTGGTCGTGGTTGTCTCCGCCATGCAGGGTCGGCGGCACTGGCCGTAAAGCCTTCACGATATCGGGAGTCCAACGCCACGAATCCACCGACCCTGTCGGCGTGCGTGAAGGGCTGTGCCGTTCGTCGTCGTCGTCGTCGTCGTCGTCGTCGTCGTCGTCGTCGTCGTCGTCGTCGTCGTCGTCGTCGTCGTCGTCGTCGTCGTTGCAGCGATCTAGCGGGCTTGAAGGATCTTTTTTTGACATCCACGGCCGAAGACCCACGAACATGGGGCAAAGAGTTGATGGGAGGAGATCGGCCACTGAGGCCAAACTCCCCTCCGCATTAGTCCGACGACCCCGAGCTCATCTCGCTTTCGCGAGGGCTCGGGCTCGGCGGAGGGCCCGCTTCGGCCTCTCCACCTACGCGGAGGGCCGAAGCGCGCGGCGACGCAGCGGGGAAAATTCCAGTTGGGACCGCAACGGCGGGCCCCTTCTGCATCCGCCGGCGTTGGGTACGAATGACCAGAGCCAAGCCTGGGGCAGCCATCTCCCGCCCGAAACGGAGAGGCGGGGCCCGGGGGGGCAGCCTCAAGACGGCCACCCCTCACTGCCCCCCCACGGCAGTGGATCCCGCCCACGCTGCACGGAGCAGCGGCACGTTTCCCGCCCCATGCGCCGACGGCGCCCACTCCCCCCAGGGTCCGCGGTCCTGCGCGAGGCAGGGCCGACCGCGGCCCTCGGGCGGGGCGCCTCAACACTGCCACCCCCTCCAGAGAAGAGGTCGAGCCACCAGCACGGGAGCGGAAGCGCTGCCTGGGGTGACTGCAGGAGCCGCCTGTCCAGGCTCAGCCTGCGCGGCCGAGCTCGCCACGGGCCCTGGGCCAAACAAGAAGACAGCCGCCTCTTCATCGGCCGCGCAAATCGCCATCCCAGAGCTCACCGCCCGAGGGTTGCAGCCTGACGGAGTACAAT